ATGTATAAATATATAACAATTAAAAAATAAATATATAATTGTAATAGTTACAAGTACTATAAGAATATACAACACTTTATCGGGTGGGGGGAAATGGGGAGTAGGGTAGGAGTGACTCTTCGGTGGTTTTCAAAGTCAAGCTGCATTCCTTAGGATCGATGTTAAGATGGGTGGACCGACCCCATCATTAGAAAAATAATTCCTCTGATATCTCAACGAAGGATTGAACACAAGGGAAGAACACACCCTCTGTCCTCTCTCTCTCTGATATTTCTCAACGGAAGATTGTGTTCCTTCTCTCTCACTTCCTACCCACAATCCTCTGTCCGCAAAACAGGAATTTTTTAGGAACCGAAGAAACCTTTGTAATTAATTATTCAAACGAAACTTGACTTTTAATTAAAAAACTTCTGAAACAGAGATACCTGTACACCGTACCAAGGAAAGTTTCTTAAAATTTAATTGCTAAAACTCGAACTCCGCTTAAAATCAATGTAAACTGATGCGAAAGAAAATCCGTTGAAGAAAAGTTCACAATCTTTCGGGTTAACCACCCCTCGGGCACGGAGAATATTCGACCGGATCACTTATTAAAGCTCTTGCTCCACTTATTAAAGCCGATGCGCGAGATATTAAATTACGCGGTTCTGTTAGATGCAACGATGTTTCTCCCCCCCTGCATAAGAGACCAGAAAGGAACGCGCCCAGCCTTTACGATCTTCCCTCTCTCTCTCTCTCTCTTTGCACGCTTCCCACTACGTTGGCTTTATGACGCGACTTTTGCGATAACTGTAATGGCCACTCTCGCAACACGAAGCACGCCATTACCGTCACTCTATTTCACAGTTGATATCTCTCCCCTTTCAGCTATGGCTACGGCCACCCACACCTCGGAGCATCCCCTTAAAGGCTCCACCTTGACCCAGTGCATCTAACGTGCGCTCGTCGTGTGTGTATGCACCTGAAGCCTCGATAAAAAGCCTGCAGCGTACCTATTATTATACCATCGAACGTTGATTTATTTTTAAAACGGAACAGAATGCTCGCGGGGGTTGATGCTCGCCTTCCACCAACCCCTCTCTCGATCGCTGCCTTTCCCGCCAGTCTCTTTCGCCCATCCAAACGCGGCTGCTTTTTCTCTACCGTCTTCGATATTCCACGCATTTCATGCTGGAGGAGAGTTGCGCGAGCTGAAATTTTATCGAAGAGGTAGATAGCTGCTCCTGTGCCATTTCAACGGGCTTGTTGGTATTATTATTGGGTCCGATGGCTTTGAATATACACCGTGTGTCGGTGAACTCGGGGATAGAATTCCTGAGAGAATTATTCTGCACGGAGAAATAAGAATGAACAGGGTGGTCGAAATTGCTGTAGAGGAATTTTGTGAAAAAATGCTGCCACGAATCTTTTGTGCTATCTTGTTAAAAATATATCACGATCATTTTTCAATGTTCACTTTGAAAATCGTCCCGTTTAGAATTGTAGCAGCAATTTGGTACAGCCTGTGTAGAAGCGTGCTTAATATGATATTTGCATAGCAAAGTGCAAGGAATAGTGATCTCGTAACCGAGCAATTTAACCCTTTACCTCACGCTACAAACTTGAATTTGAACTCTGAGTAGATAGATTTGGAACAATCTCAGAGCAGAGTGAAACAAGATTCGTCCAGTGAAGCTTCTTTTCCATCTCTCGCCTAACACTTTCCCTTCGTTTATTTTCCAGGCGGCGACGCGGTGGAATCGAAAGGCTGACAGTGTCCACAACTCCACCCGGTAACATTCCAGACTTTGTAAGGAAAAAAGTCATCGACGAGACGTTTGCCAGTGTGTTAGTGACTTAAGTGAGAAGACTTTCGCCAAAACGTCGACGATCGCGGCACACGTAACGAACCTCGCGATTCGCGACCGACATTCCAGGCTTCCGCGCCGTCCCGCTCGCGAGAGGAACTCTGGACGAGAGGAGATGTCAGCCAAGTGGTCACACGGAGGATACGACACGTTCAAGCCGCCGGATATCCGTAGATAGCGAGCAGAAACCTGGAGAAGAGTCGCGTGGAACACGGAGCTGTTGCCTCGAGGTCACTTCCTCGACCCTGACCGAGGATTCGAGGTTCAGGACGCGAAGGAACGTGGGCAAGATCAAGCAGAGCCTCAGCGATCGAGTGCACCCCAAGTTCAAGTTCGCTTTCAGGGACAAAGTGAAGAAGTCCTCGTTGGATAGGAACGAGGAACGAGAGAGTCCCGATTCCAGAGACTCCAGGGAAGAAGTAGCTCACGGTAAGCTGCACAAAAGCGACTCCTTCCTGAGAAGGTTCGTCAGGAGCTCGAGAGACAACATCACCGAAGGTTGCGAGAGACTGGTGAGAAACATCCAAAAGAGTCCACTGGTTCTTAGAAGAAAGTTCCTCTCTCACGACGAGGGACCTGTTCCACCTGTCAGAAGAAAGAGATCCAAGAAGAAGCTTCTGGAACCTGACTCGCTCACCAAAACATCATCGAAGGACTCCGATACCCTAGAGGCCTCCAATATCCGCGTCTCCGTAGAAGAAGACGACTTTCTATTAGTCGACAAAGATCCTCCACCGTCTCCAACCAACGAATCCACCAAGAGAGCTTCTCCAGTCTCTCAGATAGAGAACGAAGACTCTTCCAAAAGTGTCTCCGTGGAAGACGTGGAAGAACTCATCAGAACAGAGGACAATCTTCGTCTCCTGGAGCAACGTGTGTTAATCAGGAGACGTTTAGAGAAGTCTACGAAGATTCTTCAAGCTCTCCAACCAGGTCAAAGAAGATCCTGGAGCGAGGAGAGTCTCGTTCACGCGATAGAACAAGTTCATCACAGGTTCCAGGTAGTCTCTTTCGGTTCCGTAGCCGGCGACTGTTCTCCCATCACTCATCGACGTTACGCCAGCTCTATTTCCCGGCGAGTCGGAAGCAGCGCCAGGCAGGCAAGGTCGCCGGAGTGGCGAAGCAAGGTAGACTGGCTGTCTTGGAAGGCTAAACGGTCGCCGCCGCCCGAGGACTGGCAAGTTCATAGGTCGTTGGGCTGCGATAAGGAGGCCGGGTCAGACGATAAGCGCCGCGTCCCGTCGAGGAAGCCACGGGTGGAAGTGCACGCGCGAGCCACGGCCACGTCTGACGACAGCGTGAAATGCAAACTTGCGAATTTCGTGGTAGGCGGTGGGGACGACGATGAGGAGGAGCAAACTGCTGAACAGCGAAGTAAACAGCGGCTAGTCGGTAACGGGCCGCCGGAGAACGTTCGTCATCCCTCAACGACAGCGTCGTCGCCGCCGTCGTCGTTGCTCGTCGACGGCTCACGTGGCCGTAAGAGCAGTCTGCGTAACGACTCGTTGCTGAACGACGATGCCGATCTCGTGACGGTACGCGTGAACCTTGGCGATTTCGAGCCAACGAACGAGCAGAAGAGATCGCGGAACAGAGGAAGATCCGTGGTGAGGAAGAAGAAGGTGAAGAGTAAAGAATACGCAGGTGTCGAAGGCTCGAACGATTGGAAGATGAAGTTCACCATAAGAATGATCAGGATTCGGGATAAACTGATGCTAGGCTTGAGCGCCTTTGCTATATTGTTCACGATATTGTTGGTGATGGATCTACAGATGGATCTGGGTTACAGTGGACATCACTTGGTGCCCAGCCACGGTCGTGTGAGAATCGGCGACGATCCCAACACCGACACGATCTACAACAATTTCAGGAGGAAGTTTCTGCAGAGATTGAACGCTAGCAAAGAACAGACTAGTGGTGATGTGTCTGGAACAACGCAGAACGGTGGGAAAGTGGGTGGTAACGAGGCTAGGGATACCAGGACCGAGAAGATCATGGTGCACGACAGTTTTCCGGATTTAGTGGACATCGTGGTGAAGGGTTACGGTGTTAGTGTGTACGAGGGTGTGGCTAGGATCAGCGGAGAGGATCATTCGTACAATCCTACGCTCGGCGAGCTGAAGAAAGTCAATCCAAAGTGAGTTTTTACTTGTCGATACTGGATCTTTCGTTTAATTAGAATCTGTATATTTTGACAATTCGCGAATTCCCATTCGTCTACAGAGTGCAATTTTGGTACATTGCGTCGTTGTTGAATCGTAGCAATTTCTCAAGAGCATTTATAAAGAGATCTGAGGAAAAGTTTGCACTCAAAGTGGACAGATTCACGGGAATCTTCGCGAACTTTCAAAGTTCCCCACCCAGTCGAGCCCAGATATTAGTTTACCTAAGATCGTACCGCGGCTCGATAACGATCATTATTCGCGCAATTATCAGCTGTTAGCCGAGACTCGTCCGGAAACACGACTCCCTAAATTACCACGAGCAACTGGGTCACTCGGAATATTTATAAGAAGGAGGGTGATAGAAATCAAACGGTTATTAATTCACGTCGATCGTGCATATTGCAAATAACGAGCGACTGTCAAAGAACAGGACGAGAACTCGATTTCGGACCTTTTTATTCTCGGCCGTGGAAAAGATAGAAATCAAACGGTTATTAATTCACGTCGATCGTGCATATTGCAAATAACGAGCGACTGTCGAAGAACAGGACGAGAACTCGATTTCGGACCTTTTTATTCTCGGCCGTGGAAACACCTTATTTCGGGAATCGGAGATAACGATTTCGGACCTTTTTATTCTCGGCCGTGGAAACACCTTATTTCGGGAATCGGAGATAACGATTCCCCCTGCTTCGAGTGAATTTTTCTACCGGCTCAGTGAAAATACCTGTCCCCGTTCCTGTCCAACGTAAAATAAACGAATCTACCAAGGCTTAATTAAACGGAACAACGGAAGTAGCAAGTTTAAATCTCACGCGTTCGCTCCCGTCGAAATCTCCTAAACCGATTTCCTGCCCCTCTCGAACTTCAAACAGTAGCTCGATGCTCTTTTTTCTCCTCTCTCCCGTTCCAGCTGGTCAGTTGGAAAAGTTTCTTTGCCCATTTTCCCTAGGAAAAGCAATTAGTTAGTTCTCGCGGTGATCGCTTGAAATAACCGAAAATCTCCGCTCGGACGTTGGAACTTGCGGTTATCTGAAGTAGGAGAAACATCGATATGGAAATAGTTGATTTCAACGGATCCTTTTTTTCCCCTCGTTCGATTGTTTTCGTTAGTTTCTAGATCACAACGCGCGTTTCACGTCTCTGTAGGCTGCTCTAGCTTCGATCAGTAAGTCGGTGAAATCCAGAGCGTTGTTACTGTCGTAATAGGCTGATAAGAGGCGAGACTGGCGATATCTGGTTCACGAATGTTGTTCCCTCCGTCGACCTCCACGCTTATTCTCGTTATCCGGAGAAATAATACGTAGAACGAGATTGATAGCGTCGAGGATGCCAGTTGGTTTTCAAATTTAGCCCTTTGTTTTGTTCACCCAGGCTCAGATAATCCCTTTCTTCTCTGGATTAACGAATGAGATTTTTTTGTTTCGCAGCTTTATTGTTTTTTTTCAACACGTTCAGTGATAACGTGGAATTTTAGTCGAAGTAAAGGTAAATTTTGAAAATTTTAGGATTATTGTGTAAAATTATTAGCGGGCTAAAATGAAGTTTCTTTCGGGTTAATTGTAACTCAAACCATTTTCACTTCTCGCACTTCTCCACTGTAAATATTACACTTGTTACAAGATCGAGAAATCTGGAAAAGTAGTAAAAATTAGGTCGGATGATAAACACGGTTCCGTTTCGAAAACTCGTCTGAGAGGAAAATCCTTGCAAACTCGGCTCGAAATCCGCACTCGGAAACTTTTCTCAAATATTTTTGAAAAAATTCCCGAAGTTACTCGATATATACGAACTTTGCAAACTTCCTCTGCAACAATTGTTCCGAGAATGCCTCGTAAACTGAAGATTTCGAATTTTCCCGAGTTCCCCGTCACTTCCTCGAATAAGATACGAAACAGCTTAACTATACGTAATCTGATTGAAGCGAAATTCCTGCCGTTCCGTCAGTGGAAGATTGCTCAACCTATGTAAGTCTCGGTCGCTTCTGTTGACCTCACCGAGCGCTAATCCATTCTGCTTAAGCGATTTTATTGTCTGTCGAGCAAATATCAGTCACGTTGGCTATATCGCGTTTGAATCCACTTGCTGCGTGTATACACATGCACACAGATGCACATACGCGTGCGTGGCACGTGTTCGATGGTTCGCAGGCAGGTTGTCCAACGGCAAACGTAATTATACCGATGATATTATAGAAGGAATGCGCCTGATTCACGATCCTCTGTATGCGCGAACGTGTGTTTTCATCGAGCCACCGGTGTCCACTCTGTGTGTACGAGGAAGTGTACGATCAACCGCGTGCGTTTCATTTATGAATCACTGTTTTAACCCTTTTATTTTCCAACGATTCGTCGAAATTATTCAATCGAGTAATATTTGCTTAAACGACGTGTTGACGCTGCTGGGGAATGTTTTCAAGGATGCTTTTTCTCTGCTCGTCGGTAACTTTGTGAGATGACAAATGTTCGAGTGAAGTATGTCATATAATTTAGTTGAATTTTTAAAGATTAGTTAATTACATTTGAAGGAAAGAGAAGGTCGATCATCTTGCTGTAATAAATAGCGCAACGAAGGGGAGTATTATCAGTGGGAAATGTTCCAGTGAAATATGTAATATAGTGGAAATTGGATTTTTAGAAATTAGTTAATTAAATTTGGAGAAACGAGAAATTCAGTCATCTTGCTGTAATGAATAGTGCAATAAAGGGGAATATTTTTAAGGATTTTTTGTTTCGTTCGTTGATAACTTTGCGAGATGACAAATGTTCGAGTGAAGTATGTGATATAATTTAGTTGAATTTTTAGAAATTAGTTAATTAAATTTGAAGGAAAGAGAAGTTCGATCATCTTGTTGTAATAAATAGCGCAACGAAGTGGTTAATTCGAATATATCAAGGATATTAATTTCTGAGGGATGTAATTAATTTTATATTAAAACTGCGGCGCAAAGTGGACTTTAATGGAGGTCCATAAAAGTAGAGATAATGGTAATCGCTGTTATTAATGATTTTAAGTAAGATTACCAGAGCAGGTTTATTTATCGATTATTTAATTAAACGCGAGATAATTTGCATATCTGTGAAACGGGCGATTGAAGTACATTGTGACGGAGAGAATACGATCGTTCGCGTTAACTTTTATTTTTTTCCTTTTTCATCTTCCCTCTCTCCGCCTCGATGTTTCTTTTCATCGTAGACTAATTTGTCCCGGTCAGAAACGCGAGTAATTGTCGTGAACAATGCGCGTGTATCGCCAATTGACGATTCGTTCTGCTCGTTAGTTTGACGAATGGCCGATTGTTTCCCTTTTCTTTCCGTTCAATTTCCTCTACGGGCTCGGGATTTCCAAGGCTTCTTAATTCCGTCGATCGATTCCTGAACCTCTCTGGACTATTTACTGTACCGAACGTGTATTTATTTTTGTAGAGAAACACGACAGTGAGATGATCGAGTAATTTTCTGAACATTGGCTCGATTTTAGTTTGGAACACGCTTGGTTTTTCTCCGAAAATTTATTCTCGATTCACACAATTCTCAAAAAGAGACTTAAATATCTCGTATGCAATTCAACATCTTTGATTTCCCCCAAAATTTACTCTCTTAAAAGAAAAGGAATTAAATTTCATTTTTGGGAGACATCCTCGATTTTCTCCGAAAATTTATTCTCGATTCACACAATTCTCAAAAAGAGACAGAAATAGCCTATATACACTTCAACATGTACGATTTTCCCCAAAATTTACTCTTAAAAAAAAAGGAAACATCCCAAATTTCCTCTAAGAATTTACTCTGAACTCACAATTCTCAAAAATAGTCTTAGTCTCATTTCCACCATCCTCCATTCCCCAAAATTTCCCCTCGACGCGCTCAATTCCCAATAAAAAAAAGCCCACAAACCACGTCATGAAACGTTTAACTCACCCAAACTGCCAATGACTTCCATAAAGAACCTCTCCACTCCCCTCTTTTCACCCCACGTTGTCCAAGTGTCCATAAAAACTCCAACCCATTCTCGTTTCAATCGAAAGAAAACTTGGAAGAAAACTCCCCTCACCTCGAACCTCTCTAAAAAAGAAAACTTCCAAACGACGTACCCAACCCAAGTAGCAGCTCTACATTAGCACACGCACACACCTGAGAGCGTATTTTTCATCGCGTTTCCTCCCTCGAAAACCGATCCGAACCGTATTAAGTACTATGTGACTCCTTTATCGTTCGTTACGTATTATCGCGCGCAGGTTGTAAGGGAAACAGGGAATGGAATTTCCCCGAAGGTAGCGCACCGTAAGCCCTCAGATAGATAGACAGCTCCAGTGACCCACGGTGTCTAGGGGATAAGGCATTGTTTCGCGACGCAGAAGCGTCGACAATGCCTTAATGCCTCTGTTCGGGGGGGTTCACTTTGCTCTGAATAGAGTGTACACGTTATACACCTGTGTGGATGCACACACGAGCCGGGGTTGGATCGTTTACAGTTGCTGATACACTATAAGCAACAGATATACCGTGCCCAAGCGCTCACACACTTGACGATACTTATTCAGAGCGTGGTCTTCGTCCTCTCTTGCTCTTGCTTTCTACGAGAGGTTCGACACGGGGCTGAATCGCGTCGTCCTCTCGGAGCTTTTGGAATAAGGGGAAGTTTCGGGTCCTGGAACGATAGTTGCTCGCAGAGACAACGGTGCTCCCGAAGTTTAGCCTCCTCCGTGACAGGTGTTTCGCGCAGGTGATATTCTAAGTCCTTTCTCCGGTGAACGGGAGAAACTGTTTCCAACCTGGGTGCTTAATATTTAAAGATTACCCGGAAATGGTAATTAATGCGTGGCAAGGTCTTCTGCGGATAATGAAATTAGTTTGTCGGCGGAAAGAAAGGAACGAGTAAGTAATTAGGGACCCTCTGAGAGTGAATTTTCATGCGAGTAGACTGTGATTGGAAAATTTCATTTCATATCGATACGCTGTTACAAACGGTG